GTAGGTCAGATTTACGTTTGAAACGTCAAAATATTTAAAATCAATAATACTCGAGGATTCTATGCACGTGTAACTAGAAAATACTTATTCCAACAATAATATAATTTTATAAGATGGAATGTTTGCGTCGGGGTGATATAAATCAAATTATGTTTTGCCCTTCACCTACGTTTAAACACTGTATACTCAGTGTGTAACCTCCCGAGTGAAAGTTGGAAAAAATCACTCGGGTGGGACTCGAACCCACGACCTCCTGCTTTCTAGTGCAGATGTCTTACCATGCACTCAACCACCGAGCTAACGGGATCGGTTGGCTGGTTCGAATCTGATGTACATAGCAGCGGGTACCCGCATATTTTTTATATAAGATGGAATTTTGCGTCGGGATGATATAAATCAAATAAGGTTTTGCCCTTCACCGACGTTTAAATACTGTATACTCAGTGTGTTACCTCCCGAGTGAAAGTTGGAAAAAATCACTCGGGTGGGACTCAAACTTTTACTCGGGAGGTTACACACTGAGTATACAGTGTTTAAACGTCGGTGAAGGGCAAAACCTAATTTGAATAATATTATTGTTGTAGAAATTGTGTAAGAGACAAACACAGTTCTAAAATTGTTTTTATAAGATGTATTTTGTTAACAGGACCCATCGATTACACATTTCCAACCCCGCTTTGGCCCAGAAGCCGGTGGGACGGCAGTTAGTGTGAATGGCACAGCTCTCAACACAGGACGCAATATTGAAGCGTTCATCGGCGACAATCCTTGTAGCATAACAATAAGGTATTGTGCCTTTTTCTTAATACACGTCATTATTCAATTTGTTGCGCATACGGCAAAAATCGAAGCATTGTCTAATTTTCCCCTTAGTGGAATGACATTTATTGAAGCATTCATTGGAAACAAATAACAGTGTTTTGTACGATAATTATTAATTCAGGAAAAAGAGGGATCTCCCCAACATCGGTACAATTTCTAGTTTCGACAAAATCATTTGGACCTCTATCAAGCTTCAGTTGCTTTAATTTTTCTTAAAAAGGTTTTCCTTTCCCACCTTTGTGGAACGGCTTTTGTTAGTAATATATTTCATTATAAAAAACTACTTTATCCTGTCCAATTTCCAATTACCTTGAAAAATAATTGCTTTACATCCATTCAGTATTAAGGAGCATCATACACAGAGATGAATTCACGTTTACGTCCCTGCAGAAAATTTTACATGGCCTCTGTCTCAAGTGATTTTTTTCTTTCCCAAATTGTAAAGCAAACCGGTTGAATCCATGCTAGAATGCACAACTACTGCTGGCCAAGTTGGATATCAAGGTGTTGTGAAAGTCTCCTTCGATGGGGCCATGAGAACCTCAGCAGATCTGTACACGTACATGTACACTGAGAATCCCACCATTACTGAGGTCTCTCCTCTGAAAAGCATCGTTTCGTGAGTCTGCATGATTTTTTTGTCTTCATCTGTTTTAACATGATGGGCTAGTTTGTATAGCTTTTTTGGTATATAGTGTTTTTGGTATATACTTCAATTTTTATCGACCACATTATTTCTACCTAGTTTTTATTACAGCCTCTATTGTCCTATGAAAATGTCTGTGTTTTAAATATAGCTTTTTGGTATAGTGTTTTTGGTATATACACAAACAAGAAAATGGTCCTGGTATTAGTGAAATGTTATGTTTCTGTTAGATACGCGATACACTGTCAAGTAGCAAGCTTGCAGCCAAGTTTATGCATGGCTGTTTTCAGAAGCAGACTAATACAAATCTTCTTATTACTGAAGACAACTGTTAACTGAGTGAACAGTGAACTATTATGCTTTATTCTTAACTTCCAAATGTCATTTGCTCAAATATCTGAAAGTGAACATGTTCGTGCATTTCTGAATTGTTTAGAGTGATGTTACACCAGCCCATATCTTTCAGTGTATAGAATATATTTTCAGTATTTGCTATCGGTATTTTAATTGTCAGGGGTGGTCGAATGTTGACGGTTACTGGCACTTTTCTAAACACAAGTAGAAACCGTCAAATCGTTGTCACTAATGCAAATGAGGTGAGAAATGTGTTATACTTATTATCTGTATAAATGATTTTATATCTGCCCTATCCTCGCTTAACCTCCTTTATTATATCTACTTGCTCCATTCTTCCAACATATATAATTAGGAAACATTTAAAACTTCTATTTTGCTAAGTTACCGCAAACAACCACTTAAAATGTGAACATTGCAATAAGGGTACTGTGTAAAGAATGACAGCCATTACATCATTAAACACATTTCGGTTTTAAAGTAGAAACAAAGAGGGGTGCCATTGTCAACCGGAGCTAATGCTGGACAGAATTGTCAACTTACTGATGTGGGTCTTTATTTCGCAGGAATGTCAAGGTGAATCTGCAACAGAGATGCAATGCCCGTCTCCTAACATAACAGACCTCGACATAAGCAATGAAAACTTGACCTTTGGCTTCATCATGGATGGGGTCACTCAACTGTTGACATGGTCTCAGGATAACGATGCCAACTTGGAGTACTTTGAGGATCCAATGTATAACAAATTTGAAGGTGGTATGAAGGAAAAAGAAGGAGAAACCTTGACAATCACGGTTGGTATACGCGTGTCTTATTCTATGCGCCTATCCTTTCATTGTTTTTTCTATCTGTATATATAGATATATGGGGCCTGTCGGTAAACGTGCACGAAGCACACTTGTACAGCGCTTTGCAAAGTGATAACACCTCTCATATGTGACACAAGATAAGTTCAAGTTGATGTCTCTTCCTCCTGAATCAAGTGGATCTTCCAAAAATACAGTAGGCCTAACTTGGTAACTCTTGCTGAGTTACAAAACTTCATATCACACTCAGATCAGTCATTTCAAAAGCAAATGTAAATGTGATGTGAAATAAAAGTTAAGGTTTTTTTTTTTACCTCAGTCCTCACGCGGTGTGTAGGAGTTCATGTACATGAAAAACGACAGAAATTCTTACGTGTGATACAGCCATATGGCCTTCGTATTTAGAAATAAATAAAAGTGTTGAGCATTAATTGTCACAACCGAAAAGACTAAACTCTTCCGAAATATACCAATGCAGATACCAATAAATTTCCTTTCAAACAATTGAACTTGAATTAGCTGTGGATGCTTTGACAGGGCGAGCGGATTGACAGCGCCATCAAAGCTGGAGAAATCATCGTGACGATCGGCGTAGAGAGATGTCCCGTTAGCCTGATCACTGGGACAACACTCGTATGTGAATTGCCCGATGAGGCACCAGCAGCCGGTGACTACATGGGAGAAGATACCGGGAAAGGTCTGCCTGTGGTATGGGTAAGTAAGGGGCGGATCCATTTTTGAATGGGGGGGTAGCTTTCAATTGTTCTTTTCTTTCGAGATTTTTCCTTCTTGTGCGGCCCCAAGGGGGAGGCTTATTTCCTTACCCTCCCGGTATAGATCCGCCACTGTACGCCCTTACAAACTTGCGGGTAATTTTTCATTGTGCTTATTTAATATTATATCCTTGAAACATCCAAAAGAAATGAAGTTTTTCTGGACCTTTTCAAATAAATGTTAAGTATAACTTTGTAAATGTGATGTTCTTTCTCAGTTTTTGTTCAGTTGTTTCGACATTATGAAAGCAAACCAATTAACAAATTTGAATCATTATTTCTTCGGTCAAAGAATTTCATAATATTCGGTCATTACACTCCCGAAATCTGAAGAGAAGACCCCTCTGGCTGTAAAATGACCAAGAAAAGCGGCTCATCTAGGATTGAATATTATTAAGCAAGGTTTAAACATTGTTCCTCAGATGGATTGAACATCTGTATTACTCAATCCGAAAGGTTAAAAAACACCCAACATTCGGCCAGTTCTCCCAAAAACGTAATTACACTACTTTGTCATTGTTGATTGTTTCTTCAAAAGTGATTATTATACCGTTGACACTAACAAATTGGTTAAGTCTATGTCAGTTATGTTGAATCGTTTATTCAAGTCTATGTTGAATCGTTTATTATTTCATTTGTGTTATTCCATAGGTTCGCCACAATAACTTAAAATTTAGGTTGGGCTATTTGGTCTATCCCAGTACGGTGCCACTTGTCGCTATACTTGTACCGAGTTTGGTCATTCCACTCTCCATGGCGATACTGCTCGCTGCTACCTTCGTGTATTGCAAAAAATTGCAAAGGAAGCGCACCCACGACCGAAGACTATTGGGCAGGATAGTGGCGATTCATCTCGGTAAGTGCTGGTGGCAAGAGATGACTTCAGTTTACTCGAATATTTATTTCCTGAGTGCTAGAAACAGGTGCACAAAACTGCGGTGAAGAGAGAGTATCATCTCAGTCTATATGAGTATGCTCTTGTAAGTTAAAATCACTTGATCGCAAGACGGCGAAATGGTAAACAACACGAAACCCTTTCAAATTTCAAAGCCAATTATCCTTCATCACTTGTGTCTACCGGCTACTTATCAATTCCTAATTTTCAAACATAATTATGATAGTTAAGAAACAAATTAAACAGTACGTAGCTGCACATCTCCGTATTAAATTATGTTCTACTTCTAAAAAAACTCTCAAGGTGGCCGCTAACGGGCAGCCGGTTTTGATGGTAAAATACACGGCAAAAGAATTCAAATGGCGTGCTCCTCATTTGACTGTAAATTGTCAAGTTGTAGACAGGATGAAACAAATTTCTCTACAAAAACAAAAATAAAAATAGAACTCTTTTGTCAAGATTGTGTTTACCATTTTAGACAACTTGTGAATCTTGTGTAGCATGCAAAGGTTGTTTTGTCTGTTGATTTGTAAGCCTGATCGTGGTCGTAAACTTACCACTATATTACGTTATTTACTGTTAATGCGACATTGTATCTCTTTTCCTCAGAAATTGACTCCCACGTCAAAAGACGCAAGTGGTATAGATCCCAGAAACAGTCGGAATCTACTCAGCCAAAACAAAAGCGCATTGTCCTGAACAACAAGGTCAGCTTTGTTCCCGACGACATCCATATCGACTTCAGCCAACTGGAATTTGGGGAAACTCTCGGACAAGGTAGTGACTTTGTACGAGGAAACAATGAACATTTCATGAGTTCAAAGAGTAAGCTGTTATTTTACCTGAGAATAAAGGGGCTGTGTGTGCAAACCGTTATTGGCGTGAATGAAACACATTTTCACGTTTCGACCCTTAGAAAATTATTTAGACTCGGCCAGTCGCTGGGTCTGTTAGTAAGTCGGTAGGTCGGTTGGTCTGCCAGCTGGCTAGTCTTCGTACCAGCAAAAGATAATCAGCAAAGATGAGTATAAAACACTTGAATAAATTTTACAGGTGCATTTGGGCGTGTACTGAAAGCTGTTCTACACGATACGTCAGGGGAAGATCAAATTGTGGCCGTAAAGACAGTGCAAGGTTGGTGATGAGAATGTCGGCCATTTGTGAGAGATGTTTTCTATGACAGTATCATGGATTCAAAACAAAGCATTGAAAAGTTTTTCCTCGGTTAAAAAAAGGGCCCATTTCAGAATGGTATGCATTTTGGTCTTGATTATACTTGTTGCTGATTAGAGTTACAGAAGAGGTGTTGGATGACCTTATACCGAGAAAGAGGAACGAAAAACATTAATCAATGTGCATCTTGAATGAAAGAGCCGAAAGAGTCTTTTCGTTCAGAATTGCGAATTGTTGGTTGTAAAATGTTCTTGAACTGAATTGATTGTGTCTCTGGGTTATTGCATTTCTCTGGTGATGAAAATAAGTTGAAATACAAGTTCCTGTTTTTGTGTAGTAGCTTGGCCAAATGTAAGTTTAGCGTGCCAGTTTACACATATAATTGCCTTATTTTTTACATGTATAGACACCTCGGACCCGAAAAATGTGGTAAAGTTCCTGGAAGAAGGCCTGATCATGAAAACCTTCGACCATGTCAACGTTCTTGGGCTTCTGGGGTTGACCTTTGACGCGGACAAAAACCCCTTGGTGGTGATACCCTTCATGGCAAACGGTGACCTCAAGACATATCTGGTCAAGAAGAAACAGGTGTGTAGTCAAGAGCGATCAATGTCGATAATAGGCAGTGTTGTAGTCGAGGCCACAACCTCCGAGGCCGAGGCCAAGGCCGAGGCCACAACCTTCGAGGCCAAGGCCGAGGCCGAGGCCACAACCGCGAGGCCAAGGCCAAGGCCGAGGCCACCACCTCCGAGGCCAAGGCCGAGGCCGAGGCCAGCTATCAAAACACGTAATAAAATATAATCACTAAAACAAGGCTAAGATTATGTTGGAGTTTTAACATCTTTTTAGTTGAATTCACTGAGTTTTTGAGTGCCTGGCTTACAAATTTACAGCTTGCAATGGGTTTCCTCTTGTAGGGAGTCCGGCGAATTATATTTTTTAAAGAAAGAAATCTCAAGTTTTGTATCATTGAAAGCAAATTACCCAACAAAATCAATGGCGTTTGAATCAGGCTCATAGGTGTTTGCCCTTTGGAAATACAACGATTTAAATGGCCAAATTTTGAGTTTCTATTCTGTAAGATTTACATTATTTACTTTTAGCATGTTTTATTAATCTTATTATCAACCCTATCAAAATGCTTAATATCATAGGAATCCCCATTAAATAAACAACAACTTGATTTTTTAATCAGGTTTTTACCACTCATAACCAAAAAGTTACGACCCCCCCCCCCCCGACCGACCTTCGCACTGTCCAGGCGCGCGCCGAGCAAACACCGCGATGCAACCAGACAATGCCAGACGGCCCGCCGTTATGCACGGGCAAAGCATAGTTCCAATCCCGCTCCACACAACGGGATAAGTCTGGCAATGGCCAATCCCGCTCCAAACAACACGGCAACACGGAACATGCGTGCATGATATCACTCAGTTCATCAAAATGACCATGAATTCTCGGATCATCCGATTTGAATCCAATGGCTTCGAAGAATTTTAAGATCATGGCAAGAGGTAGGGACTGTCCAGAGGTTTTGGCCGTATATCTGTAACCACGCAAATTAGTCAATTTCAAACCGTGCTTATACATGTAATAAGTATCAACATGGCTCTAAAAATACAAAAAAGTATCCTGGTACCACGAGGAATACTGACTCCTATTATTAAAACATTCATTCAGAACTTTGCATTCATTTGGATGGAAAAACGAATTCTGAAATCGCGCTTTCCATATCGACCATTTGCGCCAAACATTACCGTGTGAGCCGGAACTTTCATTTAAATCACCGTGTAAAAATAAAATCTACTTGATATATCGTAACAGTTTTTATCATATCTTTATGAAAAAAAATGGTACAGACTAGCACACTCTATCGTACCCAGAAAGTTCAGACTTTTACTGAAACAGTGGCCTATAAAAAGAAATGATTAAGCTCTCTGCACCTTGCCGCAAATCATTTTTAAAGGTCGGGGTACAGAGGCGAAACGAGACAATTTTGTACAACACTGCAACCAGACTAGTCTACTACCACATGTTATTGTACGCAGATGGGATTGGTGCTAGACTTATGTAGTCTGGCACGCGGTAACAGTTATAACGCTTGCGCTTGCAGGCGCATGGAAAGCTGAAGCGCAGGCTAGGCGAAGATGCTAGGTACGTGAGTGAGTACGTTCAATGCCACCATTTCCAGTTCATTCGTGCGTACATTGTATATGCGTTCGTTTCACGGAACCCACTGCGGCAGAATCGCGAGGGTTTGATACGGTAAAAAATTAAAATTAATTAGAATAGAAAACACATCAAAATGGGCGGCCTCGAGCCGGCCTCGACCGATTCGCCGAGGCCGGAAGGCTCCGAGGCCGAGGCCAAGGCCGAGGCCTTGCACCTCCGAGGCCAAGGCCGAGGCCAAGGCCATGAAAATCGGCCTCGAGGCCGGCCTCGAGGCCGAGGCCGGCCTCGAGACCTCCATCACTGATAATAGGTAGTGGAAGGTTTGATAAAAGAATAGGTGATGAGTGGCATGAGTTTGGAGCTCACTCAATGGTGATTTTGGTACATGTTGTTACGTTTAATAATTAATATTAAGATTTATTGAACAAAATGCTGTCCCATTTCGTAAACAGTATGTCATGTGTTTTGATCTGAGAACAGTATTTATTTATTCATTGGAGGTTTTTACTTTCAATTTAGACCTTGGCGACATCTCTGCTGATGAGGTTTGCCTCACATGCTGCACTCGGTATGAGTTACTTGGCTCAGCACAAGTTTGTCCACAGAGATCTTGCGGCCAGAAATTGCATGTACGTGTATCCTCTCTTTTATATCATCCGGGGCTTTTACACATGTCTTTATACGTGTGTTTGAGTAAAAGCCAAATGAATGTTACGAGAAATCGGTCAGTTCGTTTAGAACTTACAACAGGACTGTTCTTATCAGAACAAAAAACTACTTAGCAAAGTTGATAATGAGCAGGACAAGTTCTTTTCAGAACTAATATCTTCTAAGCAGTAGTTATTACCACATGGTGTTACCGCAAACCGAAACGAAATAGGTCAGCTGTTTCATCGAAAATAATTTTAATGCACCAGAGATACCAAGGGACATGCATTCATTGAATTAACTCCACAGTTCGAATTAATGGCATTGCAATTCTTAAATGATGTGACCCCAAAGTAAGATCAACTTTTAACAACCTCTTTAGGGTGGATAGTGATCTTCTGGTGAAGATAGCGGATTTTGGACTATCCCGTGACATGCACGAATCGGATTACTACACAAGCGGCGATGCCCAGGCTAAGCTGCCTATCAAATGGATGGCTCCCGAGTCCATGGAACGTCGAGTGTACAACGCCAGGACTGACGTGGTACGCAATTAAATCCATCTTTGATTGGAATGTTAGATGATGTTTAGATAAAGATCTTAACGGAAAAGAAAGCAAAACACATCACTTTGCGTTCTGTGGAACTATCCTTCGAAGAGAAACTACATGAACTTCGATGTCCGGTCATGAAACGTCAGTTTATTGATAATTTACATCGGGTATGTTTTCAAGGCGCCTGACCCTCATTAGCTGGAGTATTTCGTCTTCAGACGCCCACCTCGAACTGATTTCTAAGTTAATTTAGTAATAAACGTTTTTATTTAAATTTGACACAAGATCTCATTAAACAGTTCAATAAAGACTCAAATACAATGTAGTTTGGTCAATCATCGTTAATCTTGGCTACCCTTTCCAGCTTGCTCATGTCAACTGTTCGGTAGCTCAATTGAACAGTCATCATTAGAATGGTCTCTTACATTGAAAAAAAATATTTGTCTTCTTTGCATTTCTACAGTGGTCATACGGTGTGCTCCTATGGGAGATTTTCAGTAAGGGTGCAAAACCGTATCCAGGAATTCCCAACCAAGATGTGTATGATTTCTTGAAGAGAGGTCAACGCATGGATGCTCCCAAGAACTGCCCGCCAGAAGTGTATGTTCAAACAGCGCTCACCATTACTTTTAAAAAATTACACATCTAATGTCGTTTTAACTGCTGTAAAAGTATACATGGTTCTTTGTATTTTGCTCAACTTTTTCTAAAAGTGAAGGAATCTGTTTCACTCTCAGAAGTTTTTCTTACTTTAAAGAAGGAATATAACACTCTGTAGTTGTGAGAAACTGTGAAGAGTGTTTTGTTTGGGGTTTCAAAAAAAGGGTAACTCAATTCTCAAACATTTTTCAAAAAATGTAGGGTTAATGTGCTCGAGTAATCAGTAATAATGGAAAGTGTATTGTCGGGGGTTTCAAGTAAAAGTGCAGACACAATTTGATATACGATCAAGCATGCAGCATCTAATGATTCTTGTTACATTTGCTGACTGATACAGCTACGGCATAATGGTATGTTGCTGGCAGGACAACCCAAAATCACGTTGCACCTTCGTCCAAGTTGCTAACGAGCTGGAAGAACTGTTGGAGGGAGACCGTGACTACGTAGCAGCTCCTAGTGCGGGTGTGGTTGGTAAGCGACCCATCGAACATCGCGAAGAACCTGGTGTCAAAGACGACAGCTATCTGGTCCCGATGCAGCAGGAGACCGCCTTTGGTGCTGACGGACCGTGTAGTGACAGAGAAACCAGCGGGAGCCATGCGACCGCCGCCCATGATCCCTTGGATTATGTTAATAAAATTGTCATTAGATAAAGTGTCTTGCACATTCCCAGATAAGAAATATCCGAAAAGAAAATGGTTGGAAGAAAAAAGTCTGTTTCAAGTGGCCAATATATTAAAATCATTATTGATCAAGATGGATCAATAGGACACGCTTCTTGCTCACTTTCATTCCTAAGAAAAAAGATTCTAGTCTTTTCTCTCCGTGTATTGGAATGAAATCGTTTACAATATATAGAAGGTGGCAGGCTAAAATAATAGCTAAAACATGGCTTTTTAAGCGTCTTAAACCAATGCCAAATGCCATTTTTTTTTCTGCGATTGACATTTGTTGTTTATGGACTGTGGTATTTAAATCTGAGGTATTACTGTGGTTCACCATCATTGAATGAAACGTTCACAGATAAATATTTTGTTGAACTTCATAATATTCGGATTTCCCTCAAATGAGTGCATGCATAATTGTTTTTAAAGATAAAAATGTTCACATTTTATAATAATACTTGAACCGTTTTTTCTAAAATACACAGTGATTTTCCAGTATTGTATTATATAAACATTAGCTTCGTAAAGTACATTCCTGTACAAACAGTAAAATAATAACAACCCATACAATGTTTATTTGCAAATGATAACTTGCCGACTGGGAAATTTCCTTACAGATTCTTGCAAGTTGCACAAAACATTTATATAAAAAATGGTGAAGTTATCAATAAATTATCGACTGTCGGTATCGCTATAAAACTAAAATTTGGAGCAAACACTAATAGCAATG